TCCCAGCTCTATCTGTCCATGAAGCCAGATAACACACACCAATGAGTTAAACTGCAGGAATGTCTCAAAGACATAAAGACCTGGATGGTCGCTAACTTTCTGCTTCTTAATTCAGATCAAACTAAGGTTATTGTGCTCTTGTTGGTTTTTCTCTGTATCTATTATTGTACGATCTACTGTACAACATGAAGCGCCTTGAGGCGACTGTTGTTGTGATTTGGCGCTGTATAAATAAAGTTAAATTGAATTGATTGTGTGGCGATCATCTGAAACCAGGCTACACCTCCTGATGACGTGTTAGGAGATTAAATGGTGGAGAGTTAGCACCATCAATTTAGTGATGGGTGGGTGGATGGATGCATGTATTGGTGGATGGATGAGTGGATTGGGTGGATGGACGGGCGGACAGCCTTGACCTTTGACCTCCAAAATCTAAACATTTCTTCCTTTGGTCCATAATTTATTTACAGATATCAGCTTCACAGGAAACGCCCACAAACAGATGCAGAACATGCTAATAACAATGCTAGCTGCTAGCCTGTGGCGTGGAGTCTTACCGACGTGATCTTTGCCCATAGCTGCCAGAGTGAGGAAGAGGAACTCTCTGTACAGACTCCTGCCAGACACAGAAAACACAAAATTCACTCCACAAACAGACGCCGGTAACGACACATCAAAGTAAAACCTCAGCTGAGTCGCGCTGCTGCCTGTCTCGTTTCACAAACGTCTGCCTGCCGGCTCACCTCTGGATCCTGGGGGTTCCCGGCTGTTTGGCCAGCGTGTCCAGGAAGAGCGTGACGGCCTTGTGCACCTCATTCATGCCCACCCACCGCAGCACCTCCTCCAGGAAGGACAGGGTGAACGGGTGGTTGTGCCTCCGCCAGCTGTAGCTTCTCATCAGGACGCCACCTGTTGGAAGGAAAGAAGGATGGCGGCTTAAATGCTTGAATGTTAAAAAGTCAACAACTCAACAATAAACGTGTGTTCATCTCACTGTGGATCCTCCAGAGGACGTAGAGGGGGGGCCACTGGTCTGTGTCGGGGGTCAGGGTGTCCCACAGGAGTCTCACCCTCACTGCCGAGTTCTCCGACTGGGAAACACAAACGACGAGAGTCAGCCAGGGTGCAGCGTGCTGTTGGCGCCTTTTAATGACATCATCTGACCGATAACATGGCTGCTGTGAGGTCACCGCGGCGTGAGGTTTTATTGGGATGTTACTGATTAGCGTCTTTGTGAAGCTCAGTACAGTCTGATGCAGACAGAAAAGCCACGCTGGTGGTGGACGTGATGCCAAAGTGGCTTCAAATTCAGCATCGAACCCCAGCCGGCACATCCCCGCAGCGCCGAGCCGACCCCACATTCACCAAAGTCGACCTCATTTTGCCCTTTTTGTTTTTCTCTCCTCTTGGACACGCCCACCTGGCTGCCATCACTTCACCTAACTGTGTTACCTGTGAGAACTGGCTGACCAGCGGCGAGGCTCGGACCAGCTGCAGCAGGTTGCTGGGCAGGCCGAGGCGCTGGAAGTACCACACCAGGTTCCAGAAGATGATGGAGTGGTTGTCCAGGAACTGAGGCTGGGCCAGCACCGCCTCGCCTTCGTTCTCCAGCAGACTCTCCAGCTCCTTCCTCAGAACCAGAGGGCTCAGGTAGGCCACGGTCACCTGGGGAACTCCGCCCGCCGACGAACCCTGATGGAGGGGGTGGAGTCTGTGAGCGAGATGTCCGGTGAGGATGATGTGTGAGAGAAACGGCTTCGCGGAGCATTACCGTGGTGGTCCTGCTGGTCTCGGAGTAGCTGCTGGTCTCGGAGCTGGAGTCCTCGCTCAGCCCGTTACACTGGGGTCGCAGGGACGCCTCGTGACCACTGGGGGGCCTCACGGCGCTCTCCACCTCGTCCTCCAGGTTCCAGTTGCAGCGGTCCGCACTGACAAGGCAAAGAAACGTCAGCTCCTGTCAATGCGGCATAAACGATCTATGCTTCTGGAGTTTGACCACCAGCTGCAGGAACACCTCTGGCTACGCCGCAGCAACACGCTAAACCAGCCGTGCTCGTACCTGCTGACGGGTCCAAGGTCGCAGATCTCGGCGTTCAGGAAGGGAACAAAGGAGGAGCTGCAGAACGGACAGGAGGAGTTCAGGTTGGAGTCGTCTGATGTCCAGCCCGCCATGATCTCCTCGTCGTAAACCAGCGAGTTGCAGCTACGACAAAGCGAGCAGCTGGACATCAACACCTGGACACACGGGGGGGGGGAGGGGCTCAGGTTAACCAACAGGACCGGGTGCTGCAGCGTTCCTAAAAACACTGCACTTACCTCTATTCCCGCCCCCTCCTGATTGGCGTCCCAGGACCGGCGTAGAGGATACGCCGGACTCGGCACATCCATCAAGTCGAGGTCACTTCCTACAGACAGCGAGCTCTGAGAAGACAGGAAGTAGATTAGTGACAGACTCTGTTGACACCTGCGAGGAGCAAAAACAACATGGATCTGACACTAGTAAAGTCTTTTCTCCATAAAGAGTCAGAGCGCACGAGCAAACGCGAAGACGGCGCCGTTACCTCTGATGTGGCGTTGACCAGCTTCTCCTTTGCTTTCAGGAGCGTTTCGGCCACTTGACCTTTCCTCGACGCCCTCTGGTCCGACACTCTCCGTCCAATCACTCCTCCTCCTCCCGCTCCTCCCCCTCCTCCCGGGCGCCGGTCGCCCACGCTGGCGGCTCGTCGCACGGACGCTCGGTGTTTGGTCGGCGTGAGGAGTTGCTGCAGTTTGCCCGCCAGTCCTCCTCGGCTCGGGGAGGAGACGTTGTTGTAGTTCTCATCGACAGCTTTGCTCCTGCCGGCCGAGCCCTGCACGTCTGCAGGTCTGAGGATCAAACACGCACACGGGTGAAGAAACGTCCAATCAGAGGCCAGAATCGATGTGACAGGTGAAACTGACCGTCTGTCTGCCTCGGGCGTGCAGCTGAAGTCCAGCTCCGAGTCGGCCAACTCCACGCACTCTCTGTAGAAGCTGGAGAGGCACACCTGACTGCGCTGAACCAGAACTCCACCAGAGGGCGCCGGAGGCGGCGTGGACGCGTCCCGCCGTCCCAGCGGGGGTTTACGGGAGACGGCGTCTGCGCAGCCATTGGCCCCCGCCTCACGGAGGACGGACTTCTTACCCGGTTTGACCTCTGTGGGGCAGAAAGGAGAATCAGTGAGACGATGATGTCACAGAGGAAGAGGAGGCCGCGGTGAGGCCGAGCAGGCCGCCTCTTACTGTCGCTCGCCATCTTCATGCTGCTCAGACTGTTGCTCTTCACCAGCGGGCCAGTCAGAGACTCGTGACTCGAGCTTTCGCTCAGACCGCTCCAACTGGACTGACGAATCAGAGAGGACTGGGGGCGGGGCCTTCGGTCAAACTCCGCCGCCGTTTCTGTAACCAAACGTATAAATGAAAGATCAGGGCTACTTCCTGCGTAACGGTGGGGTCATCCATCAACGTTCCCCGTCGTCTGAAAATTAAAGATGTCGGACCTCCTCGCGAACCCACGGAGCCGCTCTTCTGCCGCCGTTTGATTGGCTGTCTGAACTGGGCCACAGCCAGCAGGACGTTCCTCAGCTTGGCCCAGCGGAGACGCCCGCCCTGATTGGTCGACGGCCACTTGCTCTCCAGCACCGCCTGAGGAGAGAGAACGGCGTCAGTGAGGACGTTCAGAGTTCACGCCGTAACATCAGGAAAACACCTGAACGGGTGACGCAGGTGACGCGCACCGTCCTCGCCACGTCACTGAGTCAGTGTGTGTGTGTGTGTGTGTGTCTGTGTGTGTGTGTGTTGTGTGACCTTGTTGTAGTATCCGTAGGTGATGGTGTTCGGTGTGATTCCCGCCTTCTTCATCTCCAGCAAGACTCGGACGGCGAGGACCGGCTGCCCAAACTGACCACACAGCTGCATCAGGATCCGGTAACACACCTGCGCGCGCACACGCACACACACACACACACACACAGACACACACATACACTCAGTATAACCTGGTATATCATCATATTCGGGTCCGTCCTACGTGTCAGCACTCGGGGCTCCAACGATCTGAGAGTTTATGTCACAGCTGACTCTAAACGTCTCAGGTCAAGCAGTGACCTTTGACCCCGTCCGAGCCTCACCTCATCCGGCAGCACCACCTTGCGGTTCTCCATGTGTTTGAGGACGTCGTAGGCCGTGTGCAGGGCGCGGACCTTGGCGGTCTCCGCACGGACGAAGGTGGGCAGGTAGATGAACCAGAGGCCGTAGCAGTGACCCAGCAGGCACTTGGACCACATGTCCGGCACTGCCGAGTACTTCTGCGCCCGTTTCTGAGCCAACTTGATCTCCTAGAGGGAGGAGGAGGAGGAGGGTGAGGAGGAGGAGGAGGAGGTCAGAGCAGGTGTTCAGCGTCTGAATCATGACTTTAAAATCAGCGTTTTAGATTTAAACAGAAATGTGAACATCACAGCATCACGTCCGAGTCGCACTGACTGCACGCTGCATCACAGCCTAAACAACGTCATGCTTACACATTTAGCCCTGAGATTATTCTGGGCTGTCAACATTATTGCAAAGTGTTTAACTTGTGTTTTAATAAAAGGCTCTAAAGCTCATCTTCAACCTCTCAGTGAACAGCGCAGAGTCACCTCCAGGTTGGATCGTTTCGCTGAACAAACTGAGGAAAACACGCAGCAAGTCTAACAGCAACTTCAGGACTGGAAGCTAAATACAGCTGCAAATGTTGGTGATCGACCTGGAGAGAGCACGTGCAAAGAAAACAGGACGGGGTCCCGAGTAGGGGTGGGCGATCTAAACGATATAAATTTGGCCAACGATAGAGATTTCGACTATACCGCTCTATCGCGATAGCGCATGTTGATGATGTCATCAAGCTACGCCTGTTTTGGTTAAAAGCATCACAGCGGCTACAACCATTATCATCTGCAAATTATGGCGACAGTCACAGCAAAGAGATGAAGCACTTTTGAAATATGGGGAAAGCCAAAAACTGCGCTTCCTCCACTTCC